TTGCTTCAGTATCTCCACATCATGTTCTTTCCTCATGATGCCATCTATTGTGTGAAGGTCACCAGTCCCTCCACAGCATGATGCTGCCACCCACGTGCTCCACAGCTGGGATGGTGTTCTCAGGCTTCAAGCTTCCTCCTTTGAGGTGAGCCTTAAATACATCCACAGGTGTTTCTCCAATTAGCTCAGTGAACCAATCAGAAGCTTCCAAAGCCATGACATCATCATCTGGGCTTTCCCAAATAGTTTGAAGGCTTCTTAGTGGATGGAAACGTCTGACTTTCAAAAAGAAATTATTCTGGTAATCCTACACAGGAAACATAAATATATATATTATCAGCCACTTTTGCATGTTACATATTTTTAAAAATATTTTCCACTTTTTTATTAAATTTCATTATTAATTATTATCATTAATTGTAATCAGATTTATATATTTTTGCATTTTGTAAAATTAATTTTCCTCAGGCCATTTTTATCACTTTGTTAATTCTTGCATATATATTTTTAAATACATACATCCCCAAATCATTCAACACATTTGAATTGTGTATTTCCAAATGCATTTAATATATTTGTAAAATTTTCATAATTTATAAAAAATAAAAAATCTCCAAACATCTAAAAAGTTTATTTAAATTAGCTTTTAAAACTTTATCTTTACTTTACCTTTTTATTAGGCTCAGTGACATTTTACTCACACTGAAAATATTTAAACATTTTTAGGGTATTTTTTGAATTACTTTTAGTGCTCCACAATTTTTATGACACCTGATTAATGTATTTATGACATTAAAAAATATATTTTATTTTGCATTTTTTGTAATATTTGTATTTTCATACAACTTTCTTTTACATTTTCTTTTATTTTGTTAATTTTTGTCAGATGTGTTTCATCCTGTTGGTTCTGGCACGTTTTGTACATTTTCCTGTGAGATCTGGATTAAACTGAACTGAACGAGACTCTCCAGCAGTTTTTCTTGCTTTGGTTTGTGAAACTGAAAGCGTCATCAGATGCTGGCATTTATTCAATCTGCAGCGTTTTACTGTCAGAACAGTGGATCCAGGACGTCCTGCTGATAAACACCATCATCCTGTTCTCAGAAACTTCTCAACAACGACACCAGTCGCCGGTTTTCCATCAGATTGTGGCCAAAACAGTAAATTTACGTTTCGTAGTTTTACTCAAAAAAAAAAAAAAAAAGTGATTTTAATTCAAATGCAAAGACAGAAAGAAAAGAAATAAATCTCTCACACATTCAGTTTCAGAAACATTTTCCACTTTTTATTCCAAGAAAAAAGTTTTTCATCCCAAACGAGAAAATAAAATAAAACAAACTTATATTATTAATAATAACAACAATAATCAATCAATAAGAGGATAAGTATGACAATTCTCTAGTTTTGCTCTCCTTGTTTATTTGTCGCTTTTTCTCTATGATGATATTGGTCGTGGTCAATTAAACATGCAGCTAAATAAGTCCGATGATGATGATGATGATGATGACGGAGGAGGAGAAGGAAGAAGAAGAAGAAGAGGAAGAGGAGGAGGAGGAGGAGGAGGTGTTACAGGCCGTGAAGCTGGAGGCTTTTAATTTGTCAGATAATGATGGAAAAAAAACGTGTCACCACAAAATGGCCGCCAGTGGGAGCTGCGAAATAATTTGGCTTACGGCGGCCATGCTAACCTGGAAACAGCAGGAGCTAGCTTCAAAACATAAGACTTTCACATGGTAGCTTGCTCGCTAAAGAGCCCACTAGCGCAGCCTAAACATCACAGACAGCTCGTCATTTTAGCTCTGATCAGCGTTCGGTTGGCATTCTTCACACAAAATGGCTGCATATGGGAGAAACATGATCGCTAATAACAGGAAACTAACAGCAACACAGCTTGTTAGCGGTGCTAAAAAGACCTAGCTTTAAAGCACAGTAAGACTTCAGGTAATAGCCTGCTCACTAAACAGCATGCTAACCTAGCCTACGAGATACATAGAGTCTTTTTCGATTCTGATTAGCACTTAGAATTTGATTTCTCACACAAAATGAACGCCACTGATCATAGCAAGAATAAATGGGAAACAACTGCATTATTGGCTAGCTTAAAACTAAGGTATAGCATGCTAAAGGGGCCTACAGGACAGTTTATCTTGCTCAATTCTGACTAGCATAATGGCACTAAGATGACAGGGGGGAAAAAAATCACAATCTGTAGTGAAGCTAACTGTAAAGGCAGCTTGCTATCTGTTAGCGGTGTCATTTCTCACCTGCTGGAAGCAGCGAGAAGGATAAAATCTGCAATCTGAAGTCAGGAGCTAGCTTAACAACATAGTACGATTTCAGGTGATAGCCTGCTCTCTAAACAGCATCCTAGCTTAGCTCATAGGACACTGACACAGATTGGTCATCTTTCTGATTATCATTATGAAGTTTAAAAATTTGACTAGCATTCCCCACAAAAAATAGCCGCCAGTGGGAGCAAAGACAGCAATAAGAAGAGGTGGAAAACAACTTTGCTGTCAGCTACCTGAAAAGATAACACTGTGGATAATGTAGACTAAGTTGAAGCATGCTAACGTGGCCTACAGGACGCAGACAAATGTTTACACTGTTAGCCTTGATTGGTTTTGACTAGCACGATGACCCTAAGAAGAACGGAAAACAAGTTAGCGAACCATAATGGTGGCTTTTCAGCAATGTTAGAACTTTAAAATTTCAGGTTTTGACTTTAAGACTTAAGGTGATAGCTTGCCTGCTAAAGAGCATGCCAGCCTAGCCTCCAGGAAACTGACAAACACAGTTCTGATTGGCATTCTTCATTGAAACCGATGGCCCTGCTAGCCACAGAGCTAACAGGCTGGAACAATCAGCCTGACTGTGACAACAAAAAGCTAAAAATTCTGTTGAAAGCTGCCCAGAATGATGTTTACATTACAACAGATCCCGAATCAGCGTTAAGACCGAGCTCCTGAACGGTAACCGGGGAAACGGAGGAGAGCGGGGGGGTGGGGTAGGGGAGATGACAGACCGGAGAGAGTGATGAGCCGATGAAGAACAAAATAAAAAAACAAGTGTGCATCGTTGTTGGATGTTTATTCTTTCCCTGGTCAATCTCCTTCTGTAGGTCAGAGGTGAGGCGGGGGAGGGAGGTAGGTGGGGGAGGGGTCAAAGGTCATCGCTGTGTGTCTATGTGTGTGTGTGTATACGTCTATGTGTGTGTGTGTGTGTGTGTGTGTGTGTGTGTGTGTGTGTGTGCGTTTTGTGTGGCGTGGTGCTGTGTGTGCGTGTCGGCCGGTTATCAGCTGCTGTCGGGCGACGGCTCCCTCTCTCGGTGCATGGCGGCGCTCTGGTGTTTGATGCTGTCCAGGTACTCCTGCTGGGAGACGGCCAGCACCGACGCCAGGATCTCATCGTCCTCCCAGTCCGTCAGACCTGAAACACAGCCATCGAACCGACGTTAGCGCCGAAGGCTCGCTGCAGCGCCCCCTGCTGTGTGGAGGCCACGGTGTAACCTTGTCTAGCTGCCTGCGCTGTTAGCGCTGCTAGCACTTATTGCTAACAGAAGCTCTGATAAGGCGTTGTAAAGAGGAGATGTCAGAAAAGTTCATAAAAACGTAAACAGATACACGAGGGGGTTTGACTGTAGCTATCTGCAGGGACGCTAACGTTGCGCTAGCCGAGCTTTGTGGAGAAGTACACAGTTTAATGAAGCATGTGTTTGGCCATGTTTTCATTAACAGCACATTTTGTGGGTAAATTAAAGGTTAAATGGTTTAGAAATAGCTTCAGTACAGTGATAGTGTAATATTAAGCTATTTAGCCTTGTGCTTGGTGTTGCTTATGCTAATTAGGCAAATGGAGTTGCTATGTGGGAGGTTCACGCCTGGCAGCATCCTCTACAGATGCGTGGAAACTCCACTGCAGCCATGGAACAACGGCCACATTTCTGTATTTTACTGTGAAGTTTAACTGAAAACGCACATGAAGCATTACTGAGACACAACCAGCATCGACGATGAACGACGGCTAATAAGTGAGGGAGTTGTTACAAGATGTATGACTCACTATTCAGACACTTTGTACACGCTGTGTGGTGAACTAGCTAATTTCTTGTACATTACATAATTTGACATTTAGCATAGTCAAATAATTGAACAGCTGGGCAGTCTGTTAGCTTATTTTCCCCCAACTTTATGGCTAGCTTAACCAAACAGAAAACTCGAAAAGTACTATGTAGCACCTGGGCTAGCTAAGGCTAGCTATCAGCTAAGCTAGCAATTATTGACAAAAATGAGACCAAAGCTAAATTTAAAAATGATGTGGATCAAAAGAGAGTTGCTAAATGCTAACTAGCCTAGTTTAGCAGAGCAGCAGTCACACTGTTTATGTTGCTTTCAACATTTCTAAATCAACATTTTGTAAGTTTTCATTTACGTCTCAGCTGATTATTATGATGAGAAGGTCAGTAATCAAGCCGAACAAGCAGAAGACAAACAACGTCAACTATGTTTTGGTTTCAAAATACACACATAACTTTTGAAAAATATGAATAAAACGTGCAAAAATGTACAGAACATGTTAATAAAATTCACAAAAAAATGTAGAGAAATACAACTAAAACGTCCCAAATTGTAATAAACTGTACCAAAAATGTCAGGAACATACTGATAAAAACCTAAAGAAAATCTTAATTAAATGCTTGAGCAACTTCAGAAATAATAATAATAAAAAGCTCCAAAAACACGAATAAAATGGACAAAAGACATCTCTAAAAATGTCAAAAAATAGTAGAAATGTTTGAAAAACTGCTCATCAGGTACAAATATGTAAATATGTGAAACTAGACTCCAGATGTTACAGAGTGAGAGGACAGATGTCAGTAACTGTGATCACTAAGTGACATTTCTGTTCACCAAGCGGACGCGTTCTAAGCTTAACAGATCAATGACTTATTATGATTATTACTAAAGCAATGATTTGAACAGTGTGAATGCTGCAGTTTGCTGACGGAGAGCAGACGACATCCACGGCGGTGAGTTAAACACCGTTCTGTCCTGTGGTGGTAGCTGCTCCAGTCGAGCTGTTAACACCTCATAACACCGACACACACAATGAAACCGAGTGTTTTGTCAGCGCCACGGCGACCTCGTGTAACCTCAAACGCGCCACGCCCAGCAGCTCTGCTCGGCTGCGTCCTGTTCGAGGTTCGACTGTAAACAAACCCGATGACGGAGAGCTGAGCGACCGTGTGCAGTGGTGAGGCCTGGTGCTGTTCTGGGTTCTGTCCTGGGATGGCGCTGTGCCACCGATGGTCCTCACAATGCCAGCCGAGTGTGTTTGTGTGTCTTACCAAAGGCTGTAGGCGACATCTCCTGCATGATGGCTCTGTACTCCAAATGGTGACGACTCTGGTTGCTGGGACCTGCACACACCAAACACCACACAGCTGTTCAGCAGGAAGCTCTAACCTCGGTCCAGGAGCGGAACCGTCCCCACACGGCAGCTGGTTGGGTGTCGATGTGGGGCCCGTGGGTCCCCCTATGCTTACCTGGGGCGCAGGGGGACGGGGGTTTGCTCAGGATGAGGGCGGCTCCAGCGGGGGAGGGAGGCTTGTTGTTGGTCGACGGGGCGGTCGTGAGGTCGGAGTGGGAGGGGTCTGAGTCGCGTTGCCGTGGCGACCGGGCGCTCCAGTCGTCCAGTCCGCTGGAGGCGGCCGCCGTCGCTGAGCTGCAGGTGGCGCTGGCCTTACGGGGCTGAAAGGGAAAGGATGTCGGTATTTGTGCTTCGTTTAAGCAGTTTGTGTCTGTAGCTTTACGTGACTGAGCGATAAGTTGCTTTGCCTGAACCATTTCCATCTGGTTCCATCCGGCTGAGCCTAGAGGCTGGATCCTAACAGTGTCAGACTGGAAGCTCTGAGGCTCTGAACACAACTCTGTCCAGGTTGAGCTCCTACTGACATGTAGTTAATTAGCAGGTATAAACAATTTGCATATTTTGATAGTTTGCATGTGTGGGATCCTATTTTTAAATAGCATTCTATATTATAAAAGATCATATACAGAGAGTTACCATATTCAGATAGTAGGCATCTTTAGATAACTTGTTCTTTAAATAATTAGCATATTTAGATAGCCTACACAGATAGTTCGCAATTCAGACAGTTAGCAAACATAGTTTGCAAATTTTAATAGTTAGCATATTTAGACAGCTGTAGCTAAATAGTTAAATAGTTAGCATATGAGCATCTGTAGATAGCTAGCATATACAGATAGCACATTTATACAGGTAGCACATATGTAGGTAGCATGTTTAGCATATTTATATAGTTAGCCTATACAGATTTATACACGTATACAGAATAACCATGTTTAGATAGTGAACATGTTAGCTATCGTAGTTAAATAGCATATTTAGATAACATATATAGACCGTTACCATTTATACGCAAATAGCCAGATTTTTAAAGGAACACTCCACCTGTTTGACACCTGAAGTCCAGCTGACTGCTCAGGTGAAACCCACCAGGACGCGCCTCGTCTTACCTGTCGGGCCTGCTTCTCCTGGTCCTGCAGCCACTGCAGGTACGACTCCCGGGCCACCTGCTCCTCAATGGCCTCGTTGGTGGCCTCCCAGTCCGTCGCTCTCTTCTTGTCCTCCAGCATCTGCTGCTCGATCCACGACTCCTCCGACGTCTTGATGGCCGACTTCATCAGAGACTGGTCTGCGTACTGGGAGAGGGAGGAAACCAGCATCAGTCTCGGCCTGATACTGTCTGGATTTAGTTACCAGCAGCAGACCTGAGTGTGAGAAGGTTTCATCTGCACTGACTCACTGGTTTAGAAACACTAAGCCTGTCACAGATTACCGGAGGAAACTCAAAATGGATTCTCAGTAGGGTTCTGTCTTCTCTTCTGGTTTCAAACTGCTCTGATTTTCAGATTCACCGAGTCTGAAAACACGTTTTCTGTGTGTGTTCGGATTTGAGTTGTGTAAAAAAAAAAAAAAATCTTTCAGATGATGAAATCTCCCAAAAGCATTAATAAAAGGTAGGAAAAAGTTTTTAAAAAAGCATTCATAAAACTTAGAAAATGTCAAACAATAAAAATATTAATAAAAAGAATAGAAATCTATTTTTTTAAAATTAACAAAACATACAAAAAGTCAGAAGTATTCATAAAAATGTCTAAAACTATTCATTAATGTCAAAAAGTGATGACTAAAATATAAAAAACCAAAACATGAACGTGACAGGACATCCAGGAGCGCCCCTGAACGTGTTGAGGCGGCGTCGGGTCGGTTACCCCGGGTTTGAAGGCCGGCAGCCCCAGTCCGACGCCGATCGTGGCCTTGTTGGGATTCACCACCGAGTTGTAGTGGATGTTGCGGTGGTAGCTCACTCTGATTGGCTCGTCGTTGTTCTGGTGGATGCCGTGGAACGTGTTGATTGGCTCTGCGGCAGGAAGAGGAGGGGGTGAGTTTGGCAGGATGTGATTGGCCGATGGTGCCCGGCAGGTACCCGGCAGGTACCCGGCAGACGGACTCACCTGTGCTGTACTGGTACACCTCCACCGGTCTGTTGTACATCTCGGCCATGGCCTGCATCTCGATGTGGTTGCCGTGGCAGTTGTTTTTCCTCTTCCTGTTGATGTATGTGGTGAAGTCCTCTGTCACGTAGTTGGAGAAGTAGTCGGCGTTCTTCATCTGAGGCCAAACACAACGTTATTAGCACTGAACACAGGAGCGCCAGCGAGCGCGGCGGCGGCACGGCGGCAGCAACTCACCAGGTAGTCCATACAGTGTTTCCGCACCACCTCATGCATGTCCTGGTCTCCGTACACCTGGTCGGCTGAAACACACACAGGCCGGCGTCAGTCCACCGCTTCAGAACACGCCAACACGTCATTGGTTCATTTGTTCACAGTGAAACAGTCACAAGATAAAAACCGTTCTCCCATCAACAGAAGTCCTGTCTCACCCAGAAGTCAAACATGTCAAATTAAACTTTATTCATCCCCAGAAGAAAACAAAGACATGACTAAGAGCAGAGCGCTATGAGATATGA